CCGGCCCCCGGCCCCTGTCTCTGCAGCTGGGAACCACTGCGACTGCAGCCTGGGCCTCAGCCGGGAGGCCCTCATCGCGCTGCTGGTGGTGCTGGTGGGCATCAGTGCCAGCTGCTTCTTTGCCCTGGTCATCGTGGTGGTCGGCGTCATCCGAGCCAAGGGGTGTGTGCCCCACGGCCGGGGGTGGGCCCCCCTGCCTGCCCTGGGCCTTGGGTCCCGCCAGGAGAGAGGCCTCCTGCCCCCAGGACAGGATGTCACGGGCTGGGCCTGGCGTTCCCGGACTGGGCTGGAGAGGCGCGGGGTGGGGGGTGGGGGACCACCTGGGCTCCTGGAGTGCAGCCTGTTCTAGGATTCACACCTGCCTTTGTCCCCCCAGTGAGACATGCAGGGGAACCATGGACAGCAGGTGAGTGATGCTGGGGGGACCCCTGGGTGAGCGTGCCCTGCTCCCTGCTCCCTGCTGGGGGCACTGACCAGTCCCTGGGCCCAGTTTGGTGCAGGAGGACCACCTGGACCTGCAAACGGTGCACGTGGAGTCCCACCACATGGATGCCAACCTGGAGCTCTCCCCGGAGGACCAGGGCCTGGTCACCATTCCCATGGACCCCGCCCTGGCCCTGGAGGAGCCTCTCTGCCCACCGCTGCCTGAGTAGGCGGTGCCGCGGGGGAGGGAAATGAAATGGTATTTACTGTTCTGCACTGTCTTCTTCATGCCCCGTGGGCACTGCCTCTGGTCGGGGAGGGTCTGTGTGCGCCTCTGTCCCCTCCTCGGTGATGGGGTTCGGCCGCATAACTCCAGGCACCTGGGTGTTCCCCCCTCCCCTTGGGCCGGGAGCCACACCCTGGTCCTCTACTTCCCCCAGCCGGAGCCTCAGCCCAACCCTGAAGCCGGAGGGCCCTGGGCCCCGCCCACCCCTCAGAAAAACCCAGGGCGGGCCATTCTGGAGGGAGTGGAATCTGCTATGATCATTCCCAGGTGTCCCTGCCCGACCCACACTGTCTCCTTGAGATTCCAGGAAAGTCCTTGGGGTGGGGTGGGGCAGGCCTGTCTCCCCAGCCTTAGGTAGCAGCCTCCCTCCGCCGCTGGGCCTGTCCCCCAGGCTCAGCATCACCCCCCAGTAGCTCCCCCCACCCCACCCCTCATGTGCTCCTGCAACACCAGTCATGCACTTGGGGGAAGAAACATCCCCACGTGGGGGTGGGGCTGTGTATCTGCACAAGGGTCACTTCACTGAACCCCGAACTGGCAGAGACCCGGTGAGGAGCCGGGAGCACTCCGTCCCATTGCCATTCGGTGCGTCGCCTCCCCGGTGGCTGTTGTGTGTGGGGTCAGTTGCTCAGGCCTCGGAGGAGCTCAGGGTGTGGGCGACGCAGGGGGCGGGGACACCTCGCCAGCGCAGCTTCTGGCTCGGAGCCAAGAGGAGCCGGCAGCTCCGGGACAGGTGGC